ATAATAATAATATTTTTTTAACAAAAAATTATCTTTAATAAATCCTGGTTAAAACTACAATTTAACCATGTCGTATACGTTTTGACAATATTTTACGTATTTATCATACGTTACATTGCCCAAATAAATTAATATTACTTATACGCCTCAACGAATTATAATTAAATCACTGTCTACAGGTATTTAAATATTATTATTTAAAAAATCCAAGCTCTGGTTTGGATTTAGAAATATATCTCCAGATTTTGTTAGTCCTAAAAACTTACTTTCAAAAAGACCTGTAAAGACTTTTGATAATCCTTATAATATATATATATCCTCTCTTAACATCTCTAAAAGATTTTGACAAAAAAAAACTCCTTCAAACCCCCACCATTATATTTCCAATAATACAGATAATAAAAATCTGCTTCTGAGCAGATAGAACCAATCACAAAATATCGAGACACAACGTTTCACACGTTTCTTGCATTTAACGATAAATTGTTGTTCTAATAATTGTTCTATTATCGCTCTATCGTAAATAATATTGTAGATAAAAATGACAAAAACATGTTCTATATAGCAAAAGAATATAAAAAAACATTGCAACCTAAAAGGGAAATCACAACAATTCCAAGAAATTTGCCATTTGTCATGCAGCTATTTTCTATACCAAAGATAAAGATTTTGATTTGGAGACTTAAAACAATTTCACAATAGAAGAAGTGCGATAATATTTGAAAAATTCTCTTCCGGAAACCCTAAAACATTTTTGAAATCTCTTTATTTGATTTATCTAAACAAAAAATCACATACAAAAAAAAATCGAATCACACACTTTGTCAAAAGCACGCGCTCGCTGCCTCTCACCAATAGTGTGAATTAATTTCATTCAATTCATATTTTTTTCCAATTCAATGCATACCAATTGAAATCGGATTTTATTAGCAATTCATCAAAAAGCTAAGCATTCTCTGGTAATTTCGTCTTTAAACGTGAACAAATCTTTAGCCAAGCGTAATAATCCAATATATTTTGTTTGTATTTAATATTGCTGCTGTGGTTAATAGCGATTTAACACATTTTTTGCTTGGTTTTATTTGTTTTTTTTTTTTTATTGTTGAAATCACTTTGTTAGGAGTTTGAATTAGTTATTCTGAAAATAAAATAACTTAACTATTTTTTTTTATTTAACTGCATTTAATTGAAATGTGATTGCCATTAGCTGTCACGTTGCGGCGAGATTTCAAATAAAATGTCATATTAAAACACGTTCATTATAAATTAGTTAAGATTTATTCAACCTTTTCGATTTGAAATTCAATTATTTTAATTGCAATTGAAAATAAAAAGTAAAACCCCGTTATGGTAATTTAGTTTAAATTCATCGGGGGTTTCCCAAGGGCTTTTCATTAGAAACTTGAGATAATTGTATTACAAAACATTAATACTAATTCATAAAAGTAGGCATATATATATAATATATAATGTAGGCATATATATATATATATATATATATAATATATATGTATATAATAATAATATGTTTAAGCTTCTACGAATCATTAAAAATACTTTTTTTATTAAGTCCGGTCCAGTATACGTTTTGGCACCATATTCCATATTACTTATACGTCACATTGTCCAAATAATTTAATATCACTTATACGCCTCAATTTAAAAATAATTAAAAAAAATCTCACTGTTCTGACCAATTGTTAAAAAAAAACTTCACTCTTCTGGCCATAGAAAAAAATAAATTTGAAAAAAAAATACTCATTGAAAAAAATATATATAAAAAACGACACCATTGTTTGCAGTTCCTTGAAATAAAAAAACAATATTTAATAAATCCACATGAAGATTAAAATTTGACTATGTCGTATACGTTTTGACAATACTTTACGTATTTCTCATACGTCACCTTGTCCAAATAACTTAATAAAATTTTAAAATTTCCTTAAAAATTTAAAATTTCCTTAAAAATAAAAAATTTCCTTAAAAATAAAAAATATGTTTTAAAATTCAGAGTTTGTCGATCCTTGAAAAAAAAAAAATTGATTAAAAATATAAGCTTTACATGACTTTGAAAAAAATATAGGTCCACAATATGCTGATTATTGTTATATAACATTTTTAATAAATATAAACTCTAATGACTCATTAAAGGGATACTTCCTAAAGAAATCCAAACTCATCTGATTTTTTTAAAAAACGCCTCTCCTTGGATCCTTAAAAATACTTTGTTGATCCTTGCAGTGAAATAAAAAAATATAAGCAGAAAATAATATTCGAGTTTTGAGTTTTATGCCTTTTAGGGCGAAGGATCATTCATGTAAATGTACTTTATTAATTTCTCGAGATGAGCTACATGATCGGCTTTCATTTTCTTTGCAATTCCGATCATGTAGTTCATCTCGAAAGAGAAATTAATAAAAAAAAAAAACATCTACATGAACGATCATTCGCCCTAAAAGGCATAAAACTTAAAACTCAAAAATTCAGCTTGAGCCCGGCTGGGATTTTAACCCTGGTTCCCATGACATATATTGATTGTTGTCCGGCGCCTTAGCGTTCAAAGTCACCACCTTATCTTCCTAAGGTTGCACAATATGCAGCATAGCATTGAAGGAAAAAAATTGTGTTCTGTATGGAAAAAAAAGTCCGTCACTACAAGAAAAATCTGCTCTGAAAAGGAATGTTCTGGTGTGATGCCAAATGTCCGAACCTTGACACGGTTGAATTTAATTCGTAAATGCAATTTCCCAACAATAGTCGACATAAATACAACTTATCAAGTAAAGACATTTGTAAGTCACATTGCCCAATATGCCTGATGAGCCGCTTAACCAACGGCGAAACGCGTCGCATAATGGTGGGAATGTTGTATCTCTCTGGTTTTCCGTTTCATTGCAACTCCGATCATGTAATTCATCTCGAAAGAGAAATTAATGAAAAAAATATTCTTTTATTAATTTTCATTCAGCACGTTCACGGAAAAAAATTATATTTGAAAAATTCTGTGGGTCCTTCAAACAGTTATTTATAAGAAATATTCACTGAAAATATAAAAAATAATATAATAAAATATCTCTATGCCGTATACGTTGTTTCGTATTTATCGTATATATCATACGTCACCTTGTACAAATTCCTATTAGTATTACTTATACGCCACAATAGCTAATAATAAAGCAGTGAGAGGAGCAGTATACTCGTACGGGGCCGACACACAACCTCCACGAAAATCTAACTTTCCGTGGTTCTACTACTCTTGACCGACTAAAGGTCAACAAACATTACTAATATTCAGTACAGTCCTTCAAATTACTTGTCCAGATTCCCTTCACCCCTTGGGTTGTGTTGTGATGTTCGGCTTTCAATTTGGAAAAAAAAAACACAAAAATTTTGTTTTCGCTTCACTTCATCCCAATATTATTACTTGATCATCACCGAAAATTATAGGAGTTGTCCTTGGCCATAACTGGAACATCACGGAACATTTCAAAACGATCATTGCTATATTTCCTCCATTTCCTCCACTGTGGTAATGGGTTACTAAATAATATCTGAATACGTAAGCACCTGTAAATATTTAAGTGTAACTCCCATCTCCGAGTACATACGACAATATAATTGGTATCAATTTAAAGGTCAACCACTCCTCTTGGATCAACAATCAACTTCTCCAGTCTATGTCCTTCAGGAGTAAATATATACGCCATATAATACAAAATTTGTAATTTTTCACACAAAAATCAAATTTGACCGCTAAATATTGACCGATCTTTATCATGCTCATTCTTTGGCCCAATTCCCCTTTCCACGTAAAATTTCACGATGTTCGGGCCATAATTGCGGGCTTTGGAGCGACCAGAAAAACCAAAAAAAATTGTGTATTTGGTCCATTTCATCGCCTAAATATTAAGCGATCTTTTCCAAACACAATAGGGGTCTTCATTGGGCCGAACCCATCCTACATGCAAAATTTCGTGAAGATTGGACCATAACTGTGGCCTGTATCGTTTTTTAAAAATTATAATGGACAGACGGACGGACACACATGTCTAGATCGACTCAGCTAGTCGAGAGATGACGATCGGTATACTTAAAGGTTGGTCTAAGACCAATATTTCGCGGCGTTACAAACTCTTGCGGCTGCACTAAAGCTATAATACCCTGACAACATAGTTGTGTAGGGTATAACAAACTCTTGGGGATGTACAAAGCTATAATACCCTGACAACATAGTTGTGTAGGGTATAAAAAAAACAAGTCCTGCTAGAAAATTCACATCCGAATGTTTCTTTAATTTTTTTTCCTTAAAAAATGCGATTATTTGATGAAAGATGACAATTATTTAAAGGGATAAACATCAGATAGTCCCCGAAAGAATTTCTTTTAAAGATTTCCAAAAATCCATGCTCTTCTAATTATTAAAAAAATATTCTTAAAAAAAATCCACATCTGATGGACCTTAAAAAACTATTCTTTAGAAAACCCAATTTGTGGGATCTTAAAACATATTATTTAATAAAATAAAGCCTCTGCCTTGAAAGAATATTTTCCAAAACAAATGAACACAATTTTGGTGCTTCTGACAGCTGTTTTTGTTTTTCAATAATCATTCGCCATGTTGTCTAAATTAAAATCATGCATACGCCGCAAATGGATTCCATATTAACATTTCGATTTTAAATATATTATTTATTTATTTAAAATTTTTTAATACAAAAAAAATACTCATTAAAATGTATAGGCTAGGCATTTGGCTTTTGAAAAAATAATTCATATTTTAAGAAATCCATGCTCAGTTTGTCCTTGAGAGAATATTCTTTGAAATATTGGCGTATACGTTTTGATAGTTTTTTTAATAATAATTATACGCCACATGGCTTAAATTAATATTATGTATACGCCCTAATGGATTTGTAGTTTAATATTTCGAATTTAAATATATATTTTTTAATTATTAAAATTTTTTAACAATTTATTTTCTTTTTTTTCTGTACTTGCAGAATATTTCGTTGTTTAAGACAATCAAAAAATCATGCAAATGAAAAAAGTGCCACCGACAAGGAGCTGCAACGAAAAATAAGTGCACTTCCAAAAAATTTCCCCGAAGCTGTAAAAATACTCCTTTTGGGGACGGCCGAATCGGGAAAGACGACAATAATTAAACAGATGCGTATCTTACACATCAATGGCTATACAGATGAGTATGTAAAAAAGGAAACACCTACCATAAAAAAATGAAATCGAATTCAATTTTTTATTTTACCTTTTTCCACAGTGAACGCCGTGATAACATACCGGAAATCTATCAGAATATACACGAATCCATCTATCAATTGGTACAACATATGTCCATATTGGGTCTAGAATATCAAAGCTGTGCCAGTAAACACAGTGCCGCCTATATTCTGTCAATGGGCGAAACAGCTCCCGAATATATGAATGAGGTAAGTAAAGTCCATAGACCGGCATATATTTTTTTTTTTTTTGATAAATAATGAGATCATAAAGATAAGCGAGAAATTGAAAAGAATTTTTATTATCTTTGCCAATGAAACAGAAGTAATCTTGAAACACAATGAGATAAAATGTGTGCGTTTGGAAATTCCACATAACGTAAAATAATTTTTCTCAATTAAATAAATTAAATTTAACATATTTCTAAAAATAGAAATTAATTGGCTAGTTATATCTTTTTGTCGGGACATTTCATTCGTTCTTCACATAAATAAGATCTTTTTATATTTCATTAAAAAAATAACTACAAAAAAATAATGTTAACACATTTGAAAACATGCCAGCCTGCAAAATAGATTAAATGTACCGAAACTCTTAAAGTGCGAAAATATGTCAGATATCTGTTATTTTGTTTTTTAAGATTGCTTCTGATATATCTCAAATACAAAAACATCAAATATCATTTATTAAAAAACAAGTTGTCGAAAATAATAGAAAAAAAAATAATTCAATTATATTAATGAAAAGAAGTACTCTCCCCCGTGCCCGAAGCACTTGCCATTGACACTCCCGACAATAAGTACATTGTCAACGATGACATTTGCGTCATACATTGAGCACACGTTCTACACACATTTAAAAACATTTTTTTTTTTTTTTTTTTTTGACAATTGCCCGATCAATTGGTATTTGTTCACCCCCTATTGTTGTGCGATATAGTATCGGGAATAGAAAAATAAAATAACTAAAAAAATAATAAAGGTCGTCATAGACTAGTCTTATCATCAAAGAATATTCCTGTCACACTCAGGCAGAGAGCGAGACCGATGAGAAGCGCCACATAGATAGCCAGCACGTTTGCTGTCGTCATTAAATTTTAGATAATTTCCATAAAATATATTTTTCCACTCACATATGACGATGTTCGTACGATACCGGGGTTCTACTTTTTTATTTTATTTTGCGTTTTTTTTATATTAAAGTCGGTTTGTTTATTCAATACACGTCTCTGTTGGTTTGGTATGCGGATAACTTGGCAGGGGTGCGCAAAAACGTCATCAACATCATTATTGGGATTTTTTGCTGAAAAAAAAAATTAATCAAATTCAAAATTTCTTGTATAAAAAAATTCTGCAGTCCTAAGAAAAAAAGGTTTGATAAACCAAAGCCATGCCTATTCGTTGATCAGATGCTCTTCCCCTACTAAATATTAACCGATCTTGGTGACGTCTTTGGTCAGAAAAGAGCCTACATGAGAAACCATTGTGGCAATTGGTCCATAACTGCAACCTGTACATTTTTATGGCGGAAATACGGACGGACGAATACACATAGCTCGATTTATTCAGCTAGTTGAGATATGGCGATCAGCATAATTAAAAGTGGGTTTAGGACGAATATTTCGTGACGTTACCACACAAACGAGTACTACTCGTACAATAAAAAAAAATTTAAAGGTCTTAGAAAAAATATGAATTAAAAAATCAGAACATGGATAGTTAAAAATAGAATCTGCAAGTCATTTGTTGAGAATTTTTGTTTTTTTTTTTTTTTTTTTTTGTAAAAAATATGGCGTTAAACATTTTTTTTTTTTTCATAAAATTCCAAATTTCCTGCTTTTAAGAAAATTTAAAAATATATATGTATATGTCCTGTAAAAATAAATAATATTTAGAAAATTTCCACACTGCTCGCTGGTCTCTGAAAAAAATGAATTTTTTAAAATTCTGCACGCAATAAAAATATATTTTAAACCAGTAAGGAAAGTAGTAAAGTCGGACGGAGCCAACTATATGATACCCTTCACCACTATGCGTATATTAAACGAATGTATCCTAACAGAAAAAAAACTATATCCAAATATGAACCGATTTATACGAAACTTGTCAAAGATTAGGTTATACTAATTTCGTAATGGCCATATTTTGGGTCCTACTTAAAATCGATCAAACATACATATATAAGAGCTATATCTAAATCTGGACCGATTTTCAAGAAATTTTACACACATCATTCTAGACTCAATCCAGTATGCTATGCCAAAAATCGTGCAAATCAAAAGATATATAGTGAATTTGGCATACCATAAATCGAATGATTTTCAGGGTCTTTGGTGCCCCATTTAGCTAAAATCGGGCGAAACTATATATGGGAGCTATATCTAAATCTGAACCAATTTTCAAGAAATTTTACACACATCATTCCAGACTCAGTTGTGTATAAGCTGCCAAATTTCGTGCAAATCGGAAGATATTTAGAGACTTCAACATACCATTTACCTAAAATCGAGCGAAGCTATATATGTGAGCTATATCTGAACCGATTCCAACAAAATTTCGCATTCATCAGTTCGAACCTAATTCAGTACTCCGTGCAAAATTTTGCTTCAATCGGACCAATATTGGGAGTTTGGTGAACTATTTACATTAAATCGAACGAAACTATATATCTAAATCTGAACCGATTTTCTCCAATTTCAAGTGGGTTCGTCTTTGGGCCAAATAAGTGACATGTGCTAAATTTCATCCAAATCGGATCATAAATGCGATTTGGACGGACGGACATGCATAAACTAAACAACTATGTTGTCAGGGTATTATAGCTTTGTGCAGCTCCAAAAGTTTGTAACGCCGCGAAATATTGGTCCGATCGTCATATCTTGACTAGCTGAGTCGATCTAGACATGTATGTCCGTCTGACCATTATAATTTGTAAACACGATACAGGCCACAGTTATGGACCAATCTTCACGAAATTTTGCCTGTAGAATGGGTTCTGGCCAATGAAGACCCCTATTGTTTTCGGAAAAGATCGGTTAATATTTAGGGGATAAAATGGACCAAAAACTTTATTTTTGTCGGTTTTCCTGGTCGCTCCTGAGGCCGCAATTATGGCCCACACACCGCGAATTTTTACATGGAGAAGGGGATCGGGCCAAAGGATAAGCATGCCTGTTTAGATAAAGATCGGCCAATATTTAGCGGGTCAAATGAACCCTGACTTTTGTGTGAAAAAATTACAAAATGTATATTCTATGGCGTATATATTTGCCCCTGAAGGACCAAGACCCGAGAAGTTTATAGTGTGTTCAAGAGGAGTGGTTGACCTTTAAATTGATACCAATTATGTGGTCATATGTACTCAGATGTGGGAGTTACACTTAAATATTTACAGGTGCTTACGTATTCAGACATTATTTAGTAACCCAATACCACACTAGAGGGCGGAAATATAACTCTGAACGCTTTGAAATTGTCCATGAGGTTCCAGTTATGGCCAAGGACAACGTCTACAATTTTCGGTGATGATTAGTGATGATCAATTCAGATTGAAGTGGACCGAAAACTTTTTAATCGGACAAGAGGATGTAAATATCAAGAAATATTGCCCAAGCTCGGAATAAAAATCCACAGAAAGTTAGAGTAACGTGATAATTGTGTAGGGTATCGTATGGTAGACCTCGTCCGACTATACTGCTCCGCTCACTGGTTATTTAATTATTGTTTATTTACTATATTATTTATTTATTATTATTATTATTTTTTTTTTTTTTTTTGAAAAATGCATGCCCTTGAAAAACACCATTTAAGATTTTACGACTTTCTAAACCTTAAATAAATTGTCTTTAAAAAATCCTCAAGTTCTCTTTATGTACCGCTATGAACTGATAAACATTTAATAATATTAAAATATAAAAATATACATTTTTTTATTTTATGCAGAAAAAAGTCCACCTAGTAATTCTTAAGAATAGAATATCACGTTAATTACACAATGGCTATGATAATAATAAAAAAATATATTAAACCCCCAAGAAATCCTTGACTTCGAAATAGGGATTTTTTTCAATTTGTATAAGATAATACGATTACATAGAACAACGGAATACAGGTTATTGGACAAAAGAAAACATACTGATCATCGTTGCCAAACACTCTCTACAATCGGTTCGATGAACCATAGCCAACCCACTCAAAACAATGAGGGTCACTGGTTAGAAAACTATCAGAAATTATCGGTACTCGATATGTTTAATTGGCCAACAAAATTGTTTATATGCGGATTACCGATCTACAAACAGATAAACGCGTTTTTGGTTTGGTTTACTTTTATTTTTGTTTAATTACGATTTTTATTGCTGTCTATGTTTAGATTTGTTCTGATGCATGTTTTGTTTTTAATTTCAAATGTTTTTATTTTTTTTTAATTAGCCGATAAACAGCAACACATTTTCACTTGTTTAAATTTGTTTAGAATTTATTTTTGTTTTCTTTTGAGTAAATTATACACCAAGTTCTACGTAGAATGCAAATTTTCGGTTGAAGAAAATGTCTTTTTCTTTTGCGTAAATATTTGTTTAAATAAAGGTGGTAAGTTTTTTTTTTGGGGGGGTTTATTACGTTTGAAAGTTTCTAAAAAAAGAAAAGGCCTGTTTAAACAACCTAATTAGGAATAGTTTGGTGTTTGATGTTGAATAACAATGTTGAAATACGTATGCAAAAATATTAAATAACTTTAAATGGTATTGAGGTATAGTATATGGTAAATGTTGTTTTGTCGTGTTGGCTAAGGTGGAGTATTCATATTAAAAAAAAATACCTTTTTGACTTAAGATTCAAAATTATAATAATGCAAACTTTCTGGTCCTTGAACAAATTATCAAAGTCCTTAAAAAAGTATTTCTTAAAAATTCACACAGCTAAAGTCCTTTGAAATATTATTCTTTAAAAAATCAGCATTATATTCATCCGCATTCATTCTGCAACCTATACTAAATTTTTGTCAGATATATTGTTGCTACTTTAAAGTAAAAAATATCGAAATCCACACCGATTTCATCGAAACTTGTCACATGTTAGGTTACACTTATTTCGGCATGTTTTGTGAATTCGGCCACATTTTGAGTTCTTCATTTACTTATAAATCCAAATTTCCTGGAAATCGAAGCATATTTACCTAAATCGGACGAATATATATATATATATATATATATATATATATCTTAACAGATTTTTACGAAATTCAACACACATTTTTCTAGACTTAATTCAGTACGCTATGCCAAATTTCGTGCAAATCGAAGGATTTATAAGGACTTTGGTGCACCATTAACATAAAATCGGAAGAATATATATATATGAGCTATCTCTAAATCTTAACCGATTTTTACGAAATTTAACACACATCTTTCTAGACTTAATTCAGTACGCTATGCCAAATTTCGTGCAAATCGAAGCATATGTAGGGACTTTAATGCGTAATTTACCTAAAATCGGACGAAAATATATATGGGAGCTATATCTAAATCCGAACCGATTTTTATGAAATTTAACATGCATATTTCTAGACTTAATTCAGTACGCTATGCCAAATTTCGTGCCAATCGAAGCATATGTAGAGACTTTAGTGCGCCTTTTACCTAAAATCGGATGAAAATATATATGGGAGCTATATCCAAATCTTAACCGATTTTTACGAAATTTAACACACATCTTTCTAGACTTAATTCAGTACGCTATGCCAAATTTCGTGCAAATCGAAGTATCTACGGGACTTTGGTGTACCATTTACCTAAAATCGGACGAAAATATATGTGGGAGCTATATATAAATCTGAACCGATTTTTATGAAATTTACAACACATCTTTCTAGACTTATTTCAGTACGCTATGCCAAATTTCGTGCAAATCGAAGCATCTACGGGACTTTAGTGCACCATTTACCTAAAATCGGACGAAAATATATATGGGAGCTATATCTAAATCTTAACCGATTTTTATGAAATTTAACATGCATCTTTCTAGACTTAATTCAGTACCCTATGCCAAATTTCGTGCAAATCGAAGTATATATAGAGACTGTGGTGCACCATTTACCTAAAATCGGACGAAAATATATATGGAAGCTATATCTAAATGTGAACCGATTTTTACGAAATTTAACACACATCTTTCTAGACTTAATTCAGTACGCTATGCCAAATTTCGTTCAAATCGAAGGATATATAGGGACTTTGGTGCACCATTTACATAAAATCGGACGAGCAATATCTAAATCTGAACCGTTTTTACGAAATTTAACACACATCTTTCTAGATTTAATTCAGTAGGCTATGCCAAATTTCGTGCAAATCGAAGCATATATAGGGACTTTGGTGCACCACTTATCTAAAATAGGACGAAAATATATGTGGGAGCTATATACAGTATTTTTCGGTTAATTGACCCTACGGTTAATTGGTTTCCACGCTTAATTGAACCACATGATGGGTCAAAAATATTTCATTTCATAGTAAGGGGGTTCGGATAATTGGTTCCTCGGTTACTTGAACAAAAATTTGTGCAAATTTTGATGTGCAATTAACCGAAAAATACTGTATAAATCTGAACCAACTTTTTCCCAATTTCAATAGGGTTTGTCCTTGGACCAAACAAGTGAACTGCGCCATATTTCATGCAAATCAGATCATAAATGCGACTTGTACTTTGTTTACAATTTAACACCAACAGACGGACTGACGGACGGGCGGACATGCATAAATCGACTTAAGAAGTGATTCTATGCATATTCTCAAAAGGAACCATGTGGCTATCTCGTTTTTGCCTGTTATAAACATGTGCACAACGACAATACCCTGTACCACAGTGTGGTGAAGGCTATAAAAATTACGCAGTCAACAGACGTCATAGTCTTTGAAAAAATCTTAAAAAAATCGTACTTTAAAATCCCTTGAAAAAATTATTTTGAGAAAATGTACGTTCTGAGAGTCCTTGGCTATAAGTCAGTGTCAACATTTTTAATATAGGTCCCATAGTCCGTTTTTAGGTATTATATTGTCCGAGGAGTATTTTCCAACCAGCTGGGTCATAAAAAGATATTTCGAGTTTTTCGATGCTAAAATCCCTATTGGCAAAAACTTTTGAATGTATGTTCTGTCATATTAGGTCCCTACTGGTTTTAGGTATCTAGAAAAACAGACCTAATTTAATGGCGTTTTTACATATTTTTAGTAGGGCGATTGGCTACCTAATCAGAAATTCACAATTTAATCTGTAAAAAATGTTGCCTGGTCTTTGACAAAAAAAAAATATTTTTTATAAAAAGAACAAACTGGCATTCAGCCTGACTATTTTGCAAAAACAAAATACAAATGGTATCCCAAATAAACCTGCCAACACTACTGAAAAATATTTTCTTTACAACATCCGCGCTATGATAGACCTTGGAATGTTTTAATCTACGTTTTGATTGACCTGGAAAATGTATTTTACAAAATTGCATGCTCTTAAACCTCTATGAGTCAGTGTCGTCAAACTGGCCGCAACTTTTTTTCCATCGATCCAAATTCGTATTTCGAACATTCTTTATAAAATATGCCAAAATTTTTAATTTAAAACCTGTGAGTCAAATAATTTGACTATGAGTCACCGAATCGGTGTGTAACATATTAATTATTTTTTAAATGGCCCTCATAATTGTATATCCTATGTATATTTACAACTTTAGATTAGATCTACGAATAATTTATTAGGCGTGTCTACACCCACATTACACTAACATGTGTCCTTTACCAAAAATTAACATGGAAATTTGTCAAAGGAATTTCCATATTAAACACACATAATATATGGTGATATTATTGAAAGAAAAAAAAAAAGAAAAAATATCGTTTTTATGTGGCTAAATTCAGGCAGATAAGATTAAAAACAATCATTTTAATGTATATTGGAATGTTATTTTGATTTTGGAAATCAAACAACAAAAACAAGAACATACACAAATACAAGGTTATTATGAATATTCATTATTACAAAGTCAAAAAAAAAAATAATAAAATTAATAGATTACAGTATTTTTCGGTTAATTGACCCTACGGTTAATTGGTTTCCACGCTTAATATGATGGGTCATAGTATCATTTTTAAAAATTGAACAAAAATTTGTGCAAATTTTGATGTGCAATTAACCGAAAAATACTGTATATATTTTTAAAAATTATACTTATATTTTTTCAAATTATTTTATTTTTTATTTTATTATTATTTCAAAAAAAATATTTGTTTTATAGATTATATATTTCTAAAAAGTAAACATATTTTTTTATTTATATTATTATTTTTATTTTATTATAATTATTTATTTTTATATTTTGTATTCTAATTTTATTTATATTTTTATGATTTTGTGTATGATTTATTATTTTATTGTCTATGAAAGCATTATTAATTTCTTTTTTTTTTAATATTTTTCTTCAGGAATATTGCGATCACGTTATGACCTTGTGGAATGATTTTGGCATAAGAACTTGTTATGAACGCTCGAATGAATTTCCATTATCGGATAGTACAAAATAGTAAGTATCTACATAATTTTATATAAATTAATTTAATGTAGCTTTTATTAGAATACGAATAACAATAAATAAACACTCGAAACCGTTCCAGAACTTAACAAAATTAGTAAAACTTTTAAATTGGTAACCAGGTAAATGCCAACTTCTGATTCATGGTACAATAAATAGGTATCCATTTAGCCCAGCTGACTATTCGATTAACTGTCAACTTGAATTCGATGTGCAATGTTGCCAACCATATGAAATATTGCAAGAAAACAAATTGGCAGATGTTCGAGACATAAACCAAAACATCTGTTTTTTATTCGATCATCTGTCAAATTTTATGAATAATTGGCAACATTGTTCATGGAATTCAAGTAGAAACCCATGGTACAATGAATAGGTAGTCCATTTAGCGCAGCTGATGTCTAGATTAACTGTCAAAGTGGGTAATTTCTACTTGAATTCGATGTGCAGTGTTGCCAAGCATTTGAAATATTATATGGAAACATTTGACAGATAATCGAGACAAAAACAAAGGTTTTTGTTTTGATACATTACCTCATTATTGCACGATGTAGAAACCATTATGCAATTATTAGGTGATGTATCAAAACAAAGGTTTTTGTTTTTGTCTCGATTATTTGTCAAATTTTTTCTTATAATATTTCGAATGGTTGGCAACACTGTACATCGAATTCAAGTATAAATTACCCACATTGACAGTTAATCGAGTAGCCAGCTGCCCTAAATTGATTACTTATTTATTGTGCCATGGTTTCTACCAAGGTGTATTTATATAAGGTTAATAGACAATCAGGCTATGTTTTTAATCTTTTGTGAAATAAATTGTCAGAATATATTAGGGTCTCTGCATCAAATAATATTTTCAATAAACTTTTTCCAAATTCGTCCCAAGACATACCAGAAAAATAAGGGATGCATTTCAAATTGTGTCATTTTACCATATGTTTATTTGCGGGGTTTGTGGATATTTTCAAAGAAAAAAATATACGACCAACCCTAATATTCAATTTTAGGCATTGAACATTTATTTTCTATAACAATAATTTTGTTTTTGTAATATAATTGATTTCTACTTGAATTCGACGTGCAATGTTGACAACCATAGAAAATATTACTAAATAAAATTTGACAGATGGTCGAATAAAAAACAGATGTTTTTTTTTGGTTTTGACAACACACCTTATTGTTGCATCATTGCTGTTGACCTGCATTTGAAGTACTGCCATCTAGTTTTGACTTTCACCAGTAAGCCGCTCAAGAACATTTTGTATTATCTTTTACTCTCAAAGTGATTTTGAAAATGTTCTCTTTTACTAACTGTAATATAAAACCAGTGAGCGGAGCAGTATAGTCGGACGGGGCCGACCATATGATACCCTACACAACTTACACCAAAATCTAACATTCTGGGGTTCTATATTCTTATCTTGATAATATTTCGCAATATTTGCACCCTCTTGACCGACTAGAGGTCAACAAATGTTACTAATATTGAGTACAGATTCCCTTGAGTACAGATTCCCTTAGTATCTGATCATCACCGACAATTATAGCCGTAGTAGTTAACCATACCGGAATCCTCGTGGAAAATTTAAAAACGATCAGCGCTATATATCTGCCCTCCAGTGTGGTAATGGGTTACTGAATACTATATCAATACGTAAGCACCTGTAAATATTTAAGTGTATCTCCCACATCCGAGTACATAGGACAATATAATTGGTATCAATTTAAAGGTCAACCACTCCTCTCGGATGTACTATCAACATCTCGGGTCTATGTCCTTCAGGAGTCAAAAAATATGCGCCATAGAATACAAATTTTGTAATTTTTCACACAAAAGTCGGGGTCCATTTGACCCGCTAAATAATAACAGATCTTTATCAAAAACAGGCATGCTTATTCTTTGGCCCGATCCCTTCTCCATGTAAAATTTCGCGATGTTCGGACCATAATTGCGGCCTCTAGAGCGACCAGAAAAACCGACAAAAATTAAGTATTTGGTCCATTTCATCCCCTAAATATTAACCGGTCTTTGCCAAAAACAATAGGGGTCTTCATTGGCCAGAACCCATCCTACATTTCGTGAAAATTGGTGCATAACTGTGGCCTGTATCGTGTTTACAAATTATAATGGACAGACGGGCAGACCGGCGGACGGACGGACACACTTGTCTAGATCGACTCAGCTAGTCGAGATATGATCGGTATACTTAAAGGTGGGTCTAGGACCAATATTTCGCGGTGTTACAAACTTTTGGGACTGCACAAAGCTATAATACCCTGACAACGTAGTTGTGTAGGGTATATCTAAGAACTGGAAGAGAACAATATAATACATTTGAATTTCATGGTCCTACCTCTCCCTCCCTCTCTCTCCCCTCTCTCTCTTTCTTTTTAATATTTTATAATATTTATAAAAAATTTCTGTATAATATTTAACTAACCAATTTTCTCTCTTCTCCTCTTTTTAGTTTCCTCGATAATTTCGAACGGATTTGTCAAGATGATTATATACCCACCACCGAGGATATCCTTCACAGTCGCAAAGTAACTACCGGCATTCACAACATCTCCTTCCGTGTCCAAATACCCAAATATTTGGGTGGTGGTGAACAGATCTTTCACATGTACGATGTTGGTGGTCAACGAGATCAACGCAATAAATGGATACAAGTTTTCGAAGGCATACAAGCGGTACTTTTCCTCATCTCCTGCAGTGATTTCGATCAGACGTTACGGGAAGATCCCACCCAGAATCGCTTGATTGAGGCCCTTAATCTATTTCGTGGCGTTTGGCAAAATCGTTTCCTCTCGTCGGCCGGATTCATTGTCTTCCTCAATAAACAGGATATACTGCGTAGGAAAATTGCTGCCGGCAAGCATATTGTTGATTATTTCCCCGAATTTGAGGATTTCTGTAACAGTCCACAGGCTGAGAGCTGTTTCGATGAATGCGATTGGACGAAGAAATTTATCAAACAAAAACTTATCGATATCACCGAAGAGCCCGTCAAGCGACCATCACGCAATCTCATGAATCACAATGCCAAACGGGAGTGCTACTATCATTTTACCGTGGCCACCGATACCAGTTGCATTCGCAAGGTGTTCAACGATGTCCATCAGATGATATTGCACGACAATATGGCCCAAATGAATCTATTTTGAGGTGACTCAAAGCACAAAACAAAACAGCACCAAAGCTCCATCTCTGTGATGGTTCCTTTCTCACTCCAATAAAATACATGGGACATGGAGAAGGAACTGTCACTCCCATAGACTGTGATGTATTCTTTAAGTTTCTCTTCTGTTTTTTTAAGTTAACCCAAATAGGCCTCGTATCATTTGATAGGGAACGTATTCAATATTCAATTTTTCTACCTAGAATTAGAATTCCAAGTGTCCTCGTTTAATTTAGAATTAAAATTCTAGTTGTAGCCAATCACCATTTGTAATTTATACCAATTAATAACGATTAAGATAGCACGTTTATATGTATTCTAAGTTTCATTTTTATAGATTTTGTATTGGAAATTAAGATATTTGATAACTGATTATGTGCATATGTATGTACGAATATACGCATATGTATTTTAAAGCAATACATTATTAATTTATTCATTTCAATAACATATACAAAATAAAATACATACAAACAATACAAAGAAGAAGACAAAACAAATGTGAAGGAATTTATTATTACGAATGCTAGCGAAAACTGCACATGTCGATAATAATTAAAATGTGAGTACGATTTGGTACCATTGTTCTCTTATATTAAGTATTTATACCCTACACAACTATGTTGTCAGGGTATTATAGCTTTGTGCAGCCCCCAAAGTTTGTAACGCCGCGAAATATTGGTACTAGACCCACCTTTAAGTATACCGATCGTCATATCTCGACTTGCTGAGTCGATCTAGACATGTGTGTCCGTCCGTCCGTCTGTCCATATAATTTAAAAACACGATACAGGCCACAGTTATGGACCAATCTTCACGAAATTTTGCATGTCGGATGGATTCTGGCCAATGAAGATCGGTTAATATTTAGGGGATGAAATGGACCAAATACTATTTTTTTCGGTTTTTCTGGTCGCTCCAGAGGCCGAAATAATGACCCGAACTTCGTGAAATTTTGCATGGAGAAAGGGATCGGGCCAAAGAATAAGTATGCCTGTTTTGATAAACATCGGTCAACATTTAGAGGGTCATATGGACCCTGACTTTTGTGTGAAAAATGACAAAATTTGTATTATTTGGGGTATATATTTGCACCTGATCGTCTTAGACCCGAGAAGTTGATAGTATGTTGTTGAGTTGTTGACCTTTAAATTGATACCAATTATATTATCGTATGTACTCGAATGTGGGAGTTACACCTAAATATTTACAGGTATCTCCGTATTCGTATATTATTTTGTAACCCATTATCACTCTAGAGAGCGGAACTATAGCGCTGATCGCTTTGAAATGTTCCATGAGGTTTCAGGTATGGTCAAGGACAACGCCTATAATTTTCGGTGATGATCAGATAATAATTTTGGAATGAAGTGGACCGAAAAATTATTTTTTTGTGTTATTTTCGAGTCGATGTATAGACCACAAATGAAAGCCGAACATCACAACACAATCCACGGTGAAGGAAATCTGGAAAATAGCTGTACTGAATACTCATAATATTCGGAAAATATGTCAGTGTGAGGAAGGGGTGCTGTTTACCTCTAATCGGGCAAGAGGGTGCAAATATCACGAAATATTGCCCAGGTTCGGAATAAACATCCGCAGAAAATTTAAGTTCCGTGGTAGTTGTGTAGGGTATCGTATGGTCGGCCCCGTTCGACTATACTACTCCGCTCACTGGTTTTGAAACTACTTCCATATCTCAACGCCACACACCCATTCTGATCGCAACAGAAATCTAGCTCTATACTAAATTTGGTAACATTTATTACTTTTCATACTTATTTCCAAATTCCATAATAATTTGGATAAAGCGATAGAGCTGGGATGTACCAAAATAAGTACCATTTAGTACTTTTCGTACACATAAATACAAATTTACAAAATTACCTACATATCCGAATCCTACATTCCTCAAAATTCAAATTGTACCATATTTCGTACTGTTTAGGACTTCTAGTACGAATTCCCTAAAACCCACCCTTATCTTACATTTTTGAACTTTACTCTTTAATTAATATATTTAGTAGACCTGGGAGGGTCAGGGGGCGTCCACAGAGATTTTTCCATATTTTTGAAATATAGAACCCCTATTACGACGATACCAACTCATTTTCCACATTTTGAAGGTTTAATACGGGCATTCCGGGTTCTTGTTAGTGAAAAATATGTTTCCAGCCCATATAACTACATGTTTTGATATATTACCCATATACTGTAGATATCGGATATAATAAACTCAAAAAATGCCGGAGATTTCTTTCTTATATGCGTTTTTTTCTTATATGGCATTATTGGATATAAGAAAGTATAAGCTCGGTGTTTTTGATAATCTTCCTTATATGGTATTTTTTCTTATATGAGATGTGCTTATATCCGATATCTACTGTAAAGTAAATACCCGATTTTGGGCGCATTTTCCATCCCAAGTTATCGTAATTTGACATTTCGTTTTTTGGTGGAAAAAAGTATTTTTTTTTTAATTATTTCTTGGTCTTAGAAGCATTTTCCAACCAACGAAGTTATAAATAGAAATTTCGGATTTTTAGATGACTAAATATCTATTGATTTTTAAGGCATGTTCTAGCATAACCGTCATATAAGGTCTCAACTGATTTCCGATATCTTCAAGAACATACCGAATTTAACGAAGTTTTTACTAATTTTTAATAGGACAATTGTCCGCCTAATCAGAACCCAAAATGTGAAACAATAATCGATGTGGTCGGAAATTCTCTGAAAACTAAAAACAACTGGATTTTATTGATTAGAATAACTCCCTACCTACATTGACTATCAAAGGACTAAGTTTCATGGTAGACTACATATAACGGTAACCCCAGGTATTAGGTATTTCGGCTCTAATAATCTTTTGGGTTCTCATTGGGCGCCAAATGATGCTACCAGAAACTATCAATACCGGTCTGCATATAACGGTACCATATTCTTCAATATGGATGTCTGTAGTTTGGTACATATTTCGTTTTCTCCCAGCAATAATTTACCATGACATAGCTCCCACGAAAAGTTACGATCCATTTTAGGTACTTTGAACATCTACCTCGTGTTTGAGGGTATAAAACGACAACCTACCAATATAACGGCAACCTCTCATTATTCAATATTATAAGAATATTGCCGGCGTTTTTAATCGATTGAGCTCGAATTTGAGATTTTTTTATACCGGTAGCCCACAATTTTCGGTGTTTATGAAATGTATCTACAAGTACGACATCTACATTGAAATGGCAACAACGTAAAAAAATGTATCTAGTAAAGACAAGATCCAAGCGATGGAAATGCAGATGTCGCCATTGTAACAAAAATATTCAGAAATACAGAGTTTAAATTTTCTGACGGGATATTAGTAAAACTTGTCTATCCACCAGGAACCCGAAATGGCAAATTACGACTAAAAAATTGGACATAACTTGTTTTCCACGAACCTGCATATCCGAATAGTTGCGCCTTTTGAAGAAGTGGCGAAAATCGCAAAGGTACTTATAATGGGGTCGGACCTCTGTATGAGATCTATACCTAAACTTCCAACTTACTTTGAAAATGTTATGCAAAACGGTTTATTACCAGACAAGAACTTTGAATACCGTATTACAGCCAATTTGATTGGAAAATAAGCCAAGGACCCGTAAAATACTTAAAATGAAGAGTGGTGGGATCCAGTGGGATCAAAACTTGGACTTATGTTGACACATTTATGACCTTTTTACTTTTTGTAGTTACACAGTCTGAAATCACTATTTGAAAATCCGCCTAGTTCCATAAAAATATGGACATTTTTTAGGGGTATGTCAGAACATATACCTATATTGGACATTTTCGGCAAATAAAAATTTTGAAATGGCAAATCATAGCCTAAAATCATTATTAAAAAATCGTAAATGAAGCGGAACCTTTATATGGAGGCTAGGCCAAAACGAGGACCGATGTTGATAATTTTTGGTACAAACATTTTGGCACACAATGAGAACCCAAAAATACCAATTTACACATAATTCGTTTTGAAAAGCGTGCAAAAAACGAAATAGGGGCAACACCCTTTATGTGAGTCCACCCTGAAACTTCTGCCAATATTGATAATTTTGGAATCTACCCTGAAACTTGGGCCCATATTGATAATTTTTGTAGGGAGATTTTTACGCAATAAAAATCTAAAATAAACCAGTGAGCGGAGCAGTATAGTCGGACGGGGCCGACCATATGATACCCTACACAACTACCACGAAAAGCACACTTTCGACGGTTTTATATTCTGAGCCTGGGCAATATTTCGTGATATTTGCACCTTTTTTACAGATCATAGATAAACAACTCTTATTTCTAAGTCTTGAATATTTTCCAAAATGTTTTTTCTTGAAGAGAATTTTTACGCCATACAATAAAAAATTGGTCACTTTAGGTTTTGGTTGATTTGACCCTCGGGAAATTGACCGATCATCATCTAAACAGCCGCTCTAAGTATTTGGTCAGATCCCCTTCACCTTGTTAAATATATGATGTTCTGTATATAATAATTGCCCCTAAAGCGACTAGAAAATCTGACAAAATTAAAGTTTTCGGTTCATAGCACCCCCTGAATGAAATCTCAACTTCACCGAAAACTATAAGCGTCGTCCTTGACCATAATCGGAACTTCATGTACAATTTCAAAGCGATCAGCGCGACAGACGGACGGACGGACACACATTTCTAGATCGACTCAGCTAGTCGAGATATGACGATCGGTAGACTTAAAGGTGGGTCTAGGACCAATATTTCGCGGCGTTACAAACTTTTGAGGCTGCACAAAGCTATAATACCCTGACAACATAGTTGTGTAGGGTATAAAAATTGCTGTCAAAATCAAATATAAAAAAATGCTGCATGCCCAAAGTACCCCAATATTCCGAAATTTGAGAGGTACCGTGATATGTATCGACTATGTACCAATATTGATAAGTTTTGATAGGAAATTCGACTCAAAATACCACA